CCTGTCTCAGGGGCCCCAGTGGCTCAAACGGGTTGCACTAAAAAAATGACAACAATGAATGAAGCCCAGTATGACTGAGCTCTTTATTTTTTCCTCCTCCACAGCACTTGCTCTTGGCACCTTCAGATGTGGCAGGCTGGGGAATTTTCATCAAAGATCCTGTACAGAAGAATGAGTTCATTTCTGAATACTGTGGTGAGGTAAGGAAGGACAAAACTGTTTATAACCTGAACTAACACTGTGTGTTGGCTAGAGATCAAGAGACTGCCTCCAGCTTGGTAGGGTCTTCAGCTCTGTGTGCTCAGCAACTGTTGTCAAAGGCTCCATATTCAGGAGCCTGATGGTTTAAATGTCTCAAAAATGGACACCAGTTCTTGTGAGGATAAGCGACCAGAGTGGTGGCTGCATCTCGGGATTTAACTGCAGTTCAGACGTGCCAGGAATTTTATGTAAAACCATGCCATATACTACTAACACCTTGAGCCAGTTAAGCAGTCTTCATTTTGAGATGCTTGTAATTTTTTTTTGTTTTGTTTTGTTTTCCCACTGCTCTGAAAGAGTAACTACTTTATACTAAGAGCAAATTATAGCTACTTAGTAGGCCCCAAATACTTGCTGAAAAACATTTTAAGGGTGAGAATATTTTTAATGACAGGATGGGGGTGGGAAATAAACCTTTTTTTCTGAGACCCAAGACTCATTTTGTGAACCAAGGCCACAATGGTTACAAAAGAAGGGAGGTGGTGTCTTAATAGTACTGTACTGTTTCTTTCAGATAATTTCTCAGGATGAGGCAGACAGAAGAGGAAAAGTATATGACAAGTACATGTGCAGCTTTCTGTTTAACTTGAATAATGGTATGTATGTATTAGTGCAACCCTTGCACCAAAACATGCACACAGTTTCCTTCATCCTTCGTTTTTGCAGGTAGCATGGAACACTGAGAAAAAAATTCGGAACATTTTTTATCAGCACCTTAAGGATTCCTAACACCGATAGCTAATGCTGGGGGTGGGTTTAAATTTCCCATCACATCTGAAATGCACATCAGCAGTGATGGAGCCTGTTACACAAGTCAGCTACACAGGGGGATTTGAGCAGATGGAGAATTTCATGGAGTGGGATTACACACAGGCATTACACACAGTAAGACAGCTCAAGGAACAAAGTCCTGCTAGCTCTTGCCTGCAGGCAGTTTACTGGGACTTTAAATAAGCAGCAAATTATGGAGGTAATTTGGTGGGGGAAGCAAAAACATCTTGGGAAACAGAGCTGTGTGGCTGCATGTTGGAGAGTAGAAATCCTCCTGTGACACACATGAAATATTTCAAAAATTTTTCTTTGAACTGTCTTCTATACATGCTAACTTAGTGTGTATGTATAATGCTCGTACTTGTGAGATAAAGAAGCCTTAAATCATAAACTAAGGTAATGTCACTGTAGCAGGAGATGAATGAAAAAAAACGCAGCATGAGACAACAGAAAGCTTTTGTGTGTTGCAGAACAATAAAGCCATCCTATGATGATGTGCCAACTCCCCTCCATGGTGCAAGTTGAACAGTTTTCTGGCTGTTAAAATCCAAGTACAATACATATTTTAAAAAGTGAAATTAAAAAAGGACAAAAATCCGGTGATAGGTGACGATTTCTTTTTCTCCTAGATTTTGTGGTTGATGCAACACGCAAGGGCAACAAAATTAGATTTGCAAACCATTCGGTAAATCCAAACTGCTATGCAAAAGGTAAGTTTTAAATGATTTACCTTGATTTAGTCTAACATGATATGAAATGTTGTAGGACACTAGTTTAGAATACACATCTATCAGTATGTTAACATAAGTTATTTCTGTTTCTTCTTAACAGTTATGATGGTTAATGGTGATCACAGAATAGGTATATTTGCTAAGAGAGCCATTCAGACTGGTGAAGAACTGTTCTTTGACTACAGGTTGGTGGATGTTATTTTGTTAACTTCTTCCCTGTCCCAAAAGGGGTTAGTTTACAAGTATTTTTGGGCTAGCTCAAAACAACTAATTCCTGTGTCTGCCTTTGGTCTAGACTTTAGATCTCAGCAGTGATGAGGCAAAGCCCTGGCTTCTTAAAGCCAGTGATCACAAGTTAGGAAAGCAGCTGGCAAAGAGCTTTGTAAACTTCTCTGCTGGAGAAAGGGTTTTAATTCCAGACTTCCCCTGGTTCCCATGATTACTATGTAAACAACTATCCAAGTCAAGTAGCACCAGGGTTTGTCTCTCCCACCCTTCAGAACAGGCTAGAAATTCTCTTGCTGCTCTGTTACCAAGTGCTTGCTAAGCTCATTCTGTTCCTTCCTTCTTCTAGAAGTGGCTTGATTGAAGGAAAACTGAAGCTCTGTAGTGACAGCAGTACTGTTTAAGGCTTGAGAAATGGTTTGAACTAGTGGATTCTAAATAAGGTTGACCACTGTAAAATTTAAGAAGAAAGAGAATAGAATTTACTTACCCTCCTTGTTCAGCCTCTTCAAAAAGAGGGGAAAAAAAAATGTTTGCTTTTGTTCCATATCTGCATGCTTACCCAGGCCCCATCAAACTGTGGAAAACCCAGGTACAAGAGTTTAGTCCAGGCTGTGCTGTTTTGTCAGAGCAACAAAGATGAAAACATTCAGCATTACTTTCTTTTCTTTCCCTCCAGATATAGCCAAGCAGATGCTCTTAAATATGTGGGCATTGAAAGAGAAATGGAAATCCCTTGACACCAGCTACCTCCTTTTTTTTTTTTTTTTTTTTTTTAAAGCTGCCTTATTTTCAGGAATTTCTAGTACTGTGGGCAATTTTAGAAAAATAAAATGATGCAATTTGAAATTCTAAATTTGCGAAGTACTGTAACAGTAACTTATAGTAACAAATTTACAAAACAACTTTTTATTGCCTTCTCACCAGCTGCAAAGTGTTTTGTACCTATGAACTTTTGCAATAATGTGGTGTGGTACATTTTTCAACCGTGAATAAAGGATACTTGAAGTTCTTCATTTTTACTGGAACTGATTGAAAATTTGTATTAGCCACTGGAGGAAACCCAGGCTGAGGACTTACCTTCAACTTCTGCACAAATGCAGTACTGAACTAAACTAGGCTTTTGTTACATTACTTCCGGTTGTACTTGAGATTAAAGAATGAACTGTGGAGGGGAAGAGGCCAGAGTCCAACATCATGGGGAATGTGAAAGTAAAAGCTCCTCACTCCTTGACCTTCCTTTCTTTCCCCTTTGTTTCAACTACCCTAAGAACACTTATGTCACACCTCAAATTCTGTTAGCAACAAATATTTTGCCTATGGGTGCAGATTACTCATTGAACTTTTTTATATGTTTTAATCCCTCAGGGGGCTAATGGGCAGCTTGGGTCGGTCTTGTGCAGAAGCTCAGCTTTGCTTCTGACAAACTGGCTTGAGTCTGAACACTGCAGCAAAACCTCTGCCAACCAAAGGGAGGAAGTAATATTGCAAAAAGCAACTGAAAAGCTGTCTCTACTGCTTGCAGAGCAAGTACACCTTCCTGCTGTCCTCTTGCTCCCTATGGAGGCTTTAACTCAAAGGTAAACTTGTTGAGCAGAGTCAAATGCGGAGCAGCCTGGCATTTCTCTCTTGAGGGCAGGCAAGCAGGAACCCCTCAGTCAGGTTGAACAGCTAGAGCAACTACCCTTCCTGCCTCCCTCTGCTGTACTTGTTGCTTGGGGTCCTGAAGAGGTGGGAATTCAACTTCTCATCTTATTAATGCAAAAGAGTCTGACCCAAACACCTCAAACCTTTTCCTTGGTGAGACTTATCATATTTGGGACCCCTGCTCCAGCAAGAAGGTGGCAACAGGGGTAGGTAAAGTGAGGAGTACCAAGACTCAACATGTGGGTCAAGGCTGCCTCTCATCACTAGCTCAAGCTGTAGCCAAAGCAACATACACATGTCCAGCATTAACAAGATTCACAAACTAGAATACTGCTGCTTTCCCTGTGCTGGGTCAGGCTGCTACCTCTACTCTGCTTCCCTTGGCAGCTCGAACCTGGGGCAGATTATTTCTGGTTTTCCCCATGACACATCATTATTCACACCACTCTGGCTTATGCTACAGCCACCTTTGAGTTGTGCCCTTGGCAAAACACAGGATTTTCTGCAGAAATGTTAAAATAAATTTAGCAGCCTTAAAAAAAAAAAAAAAAAAAACATTTAGAAACAGTTCTTCATAATCATTCCTTCTTTATAATATATATTCTTTTTATATATTTTAAAAATATTCATGCACACACAGAGTCCTTTCTTTATGTAATCATCAATTTCTGTAGGTCCCACAAAGCAAAGCACAACTCTAGCCATTAAAAGCTAATTTACCTCACAAAAAGACAGTATCAACCCAAATCCTGGACCCCTTTCCTTCTTGTCACAACAAACAGCAAACAAGTCACCAGTTCTAGCAGCCACCCCAGGTCCTTTCACCATTGATAAGAGAAGGGCACATGTGGCAGAACAAGCACCTGTAGCACAGGAAAGCCAGTACTCCTCACTTCACCTGTGTATAGGGAACACACAACACTGAGAACAGAACCAAGTCTGCTCCGGCAGGCTGCATGCAGGAACTCTCCAGATGGCTTTATTCCAGGGCAGGCTGCATTCAATAGGAACTGGGAATTATTCTTCAGGAACATAATCAACTTTGTCTTACTAGAAGAGAAAGGAACAGCCTAAACGTCTTATTAATTCTGGACAGCATTTACATGCAATGCATTTTGTATCTGTTTAGTATCCAAAAAAAAGGCTCTGATTTCAAGTGATCACACATTGACATATATACTCATACTCTTTAACATATTTTGTATTCTGCATAGTTGTTGAGATCAGCTCTTCTCTTTCAAAAACATAAACATTTCCTCTTTAAACAACATGCATATTTGTTAGAGATGAAAAACCAGTTTCTTAGGTGCTTTAAGTTACTGGAAAACAGTGGAAAGGAGGAAAAGCAAAACAAGCTGTTACAGCTTTCATAACTATTATACCTTTTATTTACATTTAGAAAGGTAAGTAGTGAAACTTAATAAAACCAAATGCAACTTGTACAGAAATCTTTTAATTTTTTTTTATTTATCACACATTAAAAAATGAAACACACTATACAAATGGGTTTTCATAGCAGATTACACATGGGTCCATTCAGACTCGCTCTCAAAGTGCTGCCAACATTTAAAAGTGCTGCCTATGACGACAGCTGTTTATCATATAGCCAATGTATTGATTTAAATGCAGTAGCATGCAACCCTCAAAGGAGAAGGGTTTGATTCCTTTCTGTTCTTAAATTAGGTTAAATGGCATTGGTGTCCATATTTACATACTTGAAATGTATCAATCCTGAGCAGTTCTGATGTAAATCTGAGACTGGCTGATGGGAGTCCTGGTCTCAGTTATTAAAAAGGGAGGTCCAAATGGCAGCAGGGTGGCTGCTATGAAGTTCAGTTGCTTTTGTCCTTTCCATCACATACCTATTTGCCGAGTGTCACACAGTCAGATAATTGCTAATAAAAATGTTAAGCCAAATAGCTGTAGGTGTCCTTCTCGCCATCAACACGTTCCAAGTACTCCTTCTCGATGAGAATGTCGATGCATTTCTGGAGAGAGAAGCAGAAAGAGAAGTGGCGGGGACTCTCAGAAACAATCCTTTTGTGTTTCTAAACCACTAAACAAATCTGATGAAAGAACCTGAATTAGGTACTATCTATTTTTCTCCCTGCTTATCTTATCCTACAGCGGTTCCCTGCTCTGTTGGATCACACAGGCCTGGAAGCCGTGGTACTGGCACAACTGGGAGGGCAGCACAAGTGTAGGAACAAGAGCTAAACGTGGGGCAGAGGCTGCTGCTTCTAAACACAGCACCCCAGTTACTGCTTCACCATTGCAAACAAAAGTAAACATGCACATTAGCATCTGAGGAACACTGGGAGAAATACAGTATTTTTGGAAGCATTCCCGACTTGTTTAGAATTCTAAAAATGTTCCAATTCACCTCAACTGTTAAGAGGTCCTTTCTAGTTGGGAAGCGTGTGTGTAACATTCTCCTTGCCCCCTCTCCCACCCGCCGCACGTTACCGTGTACCTTAATGACGGGAACTCGCGGCTTGAACCGGGAGGAGAGCTGCGTGAGCACCTCCCCAAGCAGCTGCTGGTGTTTCAGAACCTTCCTCATTTTCATGATTCGCACAATAGCAGCCTAAAGGGCAGAGTCAGACAGGCAGAGGAAGAGCTCAGTGCTGCGCGTGCAGCAGACAGAGCCCGCTCCAAGTGCTTGAGACGGGCACTTGGAACCACCCTGCTTAAGGCCAGTAATAACAACAGCACCCACATAAAAACATATATGTTAACACAAAGCCTCTATTCAGCTATTTAACATTTGTGTTTCATTTAGAAACAAAATTTTACTTCCTTCCCCTGTCTCGTTTGCATCTCAAGTGGATTCTTAGTGGAGTGATAAAACATCTTCAAAATATTGTTTGTAACATACCCATTTATCTAGACATTATCTATCCATCTAGTTAGCTAGCAAGCTATTGCTGGCTTTCTTCCAAGATCACTATGTGGTGAGGCTGTGCACCTCTGCAAGCCAAAGCAGCATGTTGAGACGATCTGAACAACACAACGTGAACAACAAGGTCCTACCATGCCTTTCGGCATCTCTTATTACTGGCCCTAACAGCCTGTAAGGGTACTGTAAATACACCCCTGGCTTCAATTTGATTATGCACTGGATAAGCACATTGTCTTTTAAATAAAAACAGGAAAACCCCAATCTTCCTTAAAGAATTTTAAAGTTACAATTATAGGTACACAGTGTGCAAATATTGTGCAGTCCAAATCACCTGAATCAGTAGTTTCCTATCTTCCTCTATATTTTTGTGTGTAGTTTCTTGCTCCTGCTTCTGTTCAGTCTTCATTGGCACATTGATGTTTACCCTTAACTTTTTGCTACAAAAAGACAATAAATAATTAGTTTTTTAAAAATACTGCACCAAAACCCACACTGAAATGGTAATCTTTTTAGCTTTGATACTTTGAAAACAGTATATACATATATATATATTTTTTAATTAACATGCCCCTAAAGAGAGTAAGCATAGCTTAATGCCCTACTAGCCACCTATCTCCTTCAAAGCAGGTTTACTGGATCCACACTGAATTTGCACCTGAACCCTGAAGCTTTTGTCTCACACAGATCAGGGCACACACAAATTTTGAACATGCAGAGGCAAGGATGCTGCCAAGCACACGCACAGGGCGGATGCGGCTGGAGGTTTGGCTTACTTTTTATAACCGAGAAAGAGTTTTATTAAGGTATCGGGTTTCAACTCCACTTCGTCAACATTTGCATTTTCATCTTCTAAAACCTGCAAGAAAGGAATTAAATAATTAAGCAGGAAGACATTTGGCTGAATGGTAAGCAGATCATTTAAAAAAATCAAAAGCACTTACGAGTAATTTTGATTTCAACAGTATCTGTAGAACTTGTGCCAAGATATCCTGCAAAGTTACAGGAAAAAAAAAAGTTATCAGTGCAGACATATAGCACCTTTCTCTCGAACTGGCATTGGAAGCATTTTAAAGATATGGCAATTAATCCACGTTTCATTTTTCACAGTTTGAATCATGCTACAGAAAATGAAACACAGAAATTTAGACCAAGAATCACAGGAGTGCTGAGGCTGGCGGGGAGCTCTGGAGGTCTGCTGGGACAACTCCTGCTCAAGCAGGGGCAGCTGGAGCTGGGGGGAGCATCTCCAGGACTCCAGAGGCTCCGCAGCTAAGCAATGGGGCTGGCAAACAGTAAATAGCCCATTCACACAGATGAAACCCTGTGAGGTCCTTTTGGAGCGCTGAGACACATTCTTGTTGCACTTGGTCAACTGTTGGCTGAAGTATTATATACAGTACATATACGAAGCATTTATTAGTATTTATCTAGCTGTCCATATGTATATTACACAATATATTAAATACTATGATAAACGCAACTCAGATCTCTGAATATTCTGTAAAGTAGTAAATTCCTATATATACATAAAATTTACTATCTAGTAAATACACATAAAAATCTTCACTGACTGGGGATTGCCTAACTTTCCTGACTTGAAAACTAACTTTCCAGGTTTCCTTTGAACCTGACTTGGTTCAAAACTATTTCTAAAAGACACAGATGTCTAATAACCTGTGGGCCATAAAGTCTAAAAGAAGGAACCTTTTCTACAACATGTAGTGAGACAACAAATCTGAAGTTTCTACTAGGAACCTTGAGATACAAACAGGAGGAAACCCTACACTTTAAACTGGAAAATGCACTGCTTTTCCTTTTTTTTTTTTTTTTTTTAAAGTACAAACATATGCACAGTGGAAAAACTGATAATTGATTCTGAGAGCTCAGCAGGAGGCTACATTATTTATTCTACTATCAACAGCAGTTTGGATATGCTAACCAATCTAAGAAATTATGACTACAAGAAAGCAAACCAGGAAAGAAAGTTGACCAAGAAAAGAAAACAGCTGCTCCTTCAGAACAGGAACCAGCTCTGGCTTCTGGCATATCTAACCCCCGTTTCTTACGATACCAGCAAGAGCTCTAAAGCCCAAGAGACACCTCAAAAGTGCAGTTAAATGTGCAAGGTCACTACCATTTTTATTTGGGTGCTGTCTGTCAGCTGCTGCACAGTATAGGCATCTTCTGTGTTGTATTGCAATAAAATCGCCATCTGGAACGTCGATGCCTTCCAGACCCAGAGAAAGAAGGGAAGGGGGGAAAAGACAAATATGAAATGAGTGAACAAACATACATGCGAAATGTGAACAGCTTCTACTTCCCCAGTGCATACACATATGCTTTCTAGTTGGATATTGGAAAAATATCCCACTAGTGCTAATAAGAGAAGTCTGACAGATCTTGCACAGCCACAACTCCACATTCCAGCATTACCTCAACACAAACCCCGAGACTGTCAACATCTAACTAGCTGCAGCCCCTTCTCCCCATCCCCTACTGTGGTGTCAAAGTTTAATCTATCTTTCTTACTAATACTACCCTTAATTATTTTCCTCTGTCTCTCTGACTCTTGCTCATTTAAACAGGCATTAAAAACCTACACAGACTACCGGATTCATCCTCACAATCCTTCCAGCTCTAGCAGAGTAATTAAATCAAATTTATAAACGAGGGGGCCACCAGCAACTTATGCAAGTCTATCAGCAGCATGTTGGTGACCCAAGTTCAGTGAGAAGCAGCAGGATAATCTCAGGCTTTGATCTCCCTCCTGTGCCAACTTTGCGAGACAGAAGTGTACGAACAGTATCAGATCACATCCAAAGCACTTAGCACATACAACCCAGTTCAACGACTGATTAAACCACAAGTAATTTGCTTCTGTAAAGTCAATTTTCTTTTAAATTTTGATCTTAAGTAGCATTAAAGCAAATAAATCAGATGTGCAAGAAGGGCTCTATGAATCTGAACACCAACAACTGTCTGGGGAAGTCAAACAGCACTGCTTCATTTCAGCAATACAGAAAGGATTTGTGCTTACTAGATTTGCACTTGTGCTTTGTTCTATTTACTTTAGAGGCAGCAGGATTACTCTCGGGTATAGAGCTGATCAATTCATATAAGCATTTTAAATGCAGGATAAACATCTATGTGTGTGTAAACATATATATGTACACACAGGTGCATTATTTGAGGAATTCAATAATTTAAAACGCTTACTGTGAAATCTCATTACTTACTATTAATGAATACTTTGACATAAAAAAGAAAACACAGCTCAGTGCACTCCGTTATCTATTTGAATTAGTTGGTGTGTTGGTGCAGGTGAATGAATGCATGAATTTCACTGCTTCAGCATATGAGCATGTCTTTTTTTTTTTTTTTTTAAACACATTTACCTGCACAATGCTCCTCTGGAGGCAGGGAAAGTCTATTACCTCCACTTTGGGAGTAAAGACACCTCAGGGATCATCCCAACAACGCACAAGTAGCGTAGCAGAGAGTGCACAGCTCTTCCAAGGGACCAGCTGGCATTCAGTGCTCTAGAAACTGCATTAAATCAATGTTTCTGTTAGCGCAATGTTTTGCTTACCTGTAACGTGTATCTGTTTTTGAAACAATTGGTAACCAGTTCCCCTTTGGACAGCTGATACAACCAGGTTAATTTTCTTCCACTATGACGACTGGCATAAAATGCTGTAAATCTCTGATAACTCCGTTCTAACTGTATGAAAACAGCAGCAACAAAGAAGATTAGTTTCTTTCATGCTTCTCCCTGCAATACGGTCCCAAACCTGCCATGAGAGAACCAAACTGGGCAACTTTCCACTGCCACGTTTTCCTCTACTCTGAAAAATTTGAATAGTTTGGGTTTCCATTTGTCTGTCCTAGAAAATTTCCCCTTCTCTCTCTAAGGAGGTCCCAACAGGAAGAACCTACCCAAGGGAAAAGGCTCCCATCTTCCTTTATGACAGATTAAGCAAGGCTACAAAGACAGTTTCCTTTAACCACCTTACTGTTCTATTTAGCAATATTTCTTCATTCCTCATGTTAACTACCTGTCTTGTCTATTCTGGATAAACACTCAGCAGAAAACTGATGTTTAGCAGCTGAATAGTTTACTGGACTGAAGTTAACTGCCAGAAAAAAACGTATCTTAGGCAAAGGCATACACAGAAAAATAACAAAGATTTACTTTAGTTACTGTTCAATGTTTTGAAGAAAGATTCATTAATCATAGACTTTCCACCAGAAGCATCAGTTTAGTCTTTGGACAATTTCCTCCCACCACCTGAGTGACTTATTTTCTTTCAAATATCCTCCAGCCAAAAAGTCAATCTAGACCCACAAAGCCTCTAGACAAAACAGTAAAAGCAAAAGAAATCCAGTCCTCTTCGAAATGCAACAAAGTAGGAGGAGAAACAAGCCACCCCTCTTGCAACATAAATGCACGTAAAGCTTTGTAAAGGTCATGGCCTCACCTCGGACGGCAGAGCAAACGTGCAGGACTGCTGGAACGGCCACGATCCGGAGCTCAGGACCTGGATGCTGAAGTCCACTGCAAGAGGGACACAGAGGTTAACAGGCTTAACCATTCTCCCCTCCTCTGGTCCACCCTCTTTCCAAACATGCAGCTTCAGAGCTCTAACACAAACCAGGATGGGCGCTGTCCTCCTCAGACTAACATGGTGCAAATCACAAAACAACATGGACAATATTTTACTTATATTTATTTATATTTTAGTTACAGCGTAAAGCAAAGGAATCCATGTAAGATGAAGTTGCTCTCGGGTAGCGTGAAAGTTCTTATAATTTAATTTTCCTCTCATTTGTAAAGGTCGCTATCCTGTTTTTACCCATATGAGAGATTTTTCTAACTAGCAAATGTTAAAAAAAAAGTGTAAATGCAGATTTATTTACTTAATTTTATACGAAACTTTCCAGTCTACAGTAAATACCGACAATAATAACGATAATAAAAATCAAGTTCATGTTTGTATGGCATTTGGGACAGGTTAGTAAATATAATACAAAAATAATTAAATTTGAAGCTTGATAACGAGCATTCGGACATCATTCAAAACATAATTACCAATTTCTGAAAGAATTTGTTTCAGCAAGTTTCAGTGAAAAAAAAAACATTTCTTCATAAGAAAGCAACACCTACTGATCTAAAGTGTCAGTGTCAGATCATGTCTATAAGTACCTCAAAGGAGGCAGCGAGGAGGATGGTGCTGGCCTCTTTTCAGTGGTGGCCACCGACAGAACTAGAGGAAACGGCCGGAAACTAAAGCATCAAAAGTTCCACAGGAACTTAAGGAAAAATTTCTTAACAGTGAGGGTGACAGAGCACTGGAACAGGCTGCCCAGAGAGGTTGTGGAGTCTCCTTCTCTGGAGATCTTCAAAACCTGCTTGGATGCAGTCCTGTGCCACGTGCTTTAGGTGACCCTGTGTGTGCAGGCAGGTTGGACTAGATGATCTCTAGAGGTCCCTTCCAACCCTAAGCATTCTATGATTCCATGAAAAGACAGCACTCTTTTTCTTAATATTTTTATTCAAGTCTGATTACCTAAGCCAAACTCTACTCCAAAATTAAGGTTGTTTTTAACAAAAGAATCTTTCCGATCACTAAAAAAGACAGTATTCAACTTAATTACCTACCTAAAGATGAGCTGCAAAATCAGGAGGAGGCTACCCATAACAGAAGATACAAAGCGCTATTAGAAGACACAGCACAGACCTAGAATATTAATTAAAAAAATACTACCTATCTTGGTCAAAATATATTAATGATGCTAACCTTTGGAGGGCATGATGTATAAATCAAATGCTTCCCTCAGATACTTAACTCTTCTCTGTAGGATAAGAGGAAGCTAAACTACTAAACAGTAACTCAGACTGCAGAAAAACAGCTGGTTATAAATGTATTACTTACAATCTAATGGCTCTGAATTGGTCAGGTGCTTTTTAAATTGCTCATTCAAGTCCTTGCTTACACCAATATCTTGAAACATCCGCTGCAGCTTGGAAGTGTACTCAAAACCACAAGCTTGCTGCATTTTAAAAGCAAAGATGTCAGCAAGTTTATACATTGGCATTAAAGAATGAAAAGTCAAGAAATCCATTTTCATAAAAGATCACGTACAAAGTGCACTACCTCCCTTACTCAAACCATTAACCCAACTGGGTAAGGGGTATTTAACTGCCACCAAAAAGACAATTTTGGACAATAAATCAATCAATCAATAAATAAACCCACCGCACCTACATGCAATGAGCGGACTACTAGAAGACCTTAGACCTTATTTGGTTCAACTTCTGTACCAACAAGGGTTAATAGAATTAAGCAACACGACCAGCAACATTTCAGCAGTGAATCACTTGGATAAGGATGTTTATGTAATTTATTTGCAGTAGAATTAAACTTATTCCATCAGATGGACATGCAAGTCTGCCAAAAGCACAGCAGTCCGACTTTTCTATCACACATAACGAGGTCTGAGTAAAAATCACAATGTTTTGGGAGAACACACATCACCGCTTTCCAAGATAATGCCAAGATTGGCAATACTGGAGGATTTGGGACAACCAAGGGGTGCTTACTTTAAGCTTGGAGATCATGCTTGCCTCAGCATCATCACTAGCACTGTTCTGATGCACAAGTCTCTTGGCCAGCATTTTAGCATAGAATTTTTGAAACACATCTTTATCCTCAATATACTTGAAGACAACCATCTGGATAAAGACAAGAATATTTATAAGAAAATATTTAAGCATTTGTATTGAAGGAGAGCAACAATAGTAACTACTTCATTAACAATTAAATTTTTAAGATTTTTTTGAGAGTGAATACAGTTGTAAACATGTTTACATATTCTGCAGATACACCTTGTATACGTGCATGGACACACACATATACATGTATCTCTACATAAAAATTCAACGGAGCACATTCTGTTCCGCCATTTGAAATACATTGTTGAATTCAAGCTAAGGATTTTTATTTTTTATTTTTTAGTACAATCCCTATAAAAGCAGCCCTGGCAGAAATTATTAAGTATATTATTGAAAATCTAAGATATTATATAACAAAAGCAAATATACAGAACAAAGTGGGGTTTTTTGTGTGACAATTGAATAATTTAAGTTGTCAAAGCTTATACAGAACTGTATTTGAGACTTACCACTTGATTGAGTGTATCTTCTAATTCTGCTTCTTCGGGGTTCTTCGAGCTGCAATAAAATTAGGATTTTTTTTTTTTGTAATTCCAAAATCACTAAATTGAAACTACATATGGAGGTTTGTGAAAGTTTATTTCATAAACAAGGATCACGGTTAAAATGACCGAGATAATATTTTTGGGGCCAAGGATTCTTTTGAGAGGAAACCATGTACTGAAATGAACAGTTTTCTCTTCACTACTCCACAAAATGCACATACGTTAGCAACTTTAATGGATAAGAGCTCTAAACAACCAGTCAAAAATCCTGTACCATGAAGTGCTTGGGACATCCTAAGAGCCTAGGAAGATATGCAGGCTTTCTGTGTTTAAATGTGCCTCTCTCTCTTCTGGCTTCCCTCTGCTGCTAAATGCTACGGTTATTTCTCATCCCAGGTGCCGGAGACAGCGAAAAAGCAACAGCTCCCAGAGCTCACTCTTGAGCGCGTGACAGTTAAGGTGGCAACATCTTGTTTTCCTCCGCATTCTGCTAGTCCATCAGTCAAACCCCAAAGCTACCTCAAAGAAAGAGAGTATTTATAGTGGGAATATATATTTGGAGGGAAAAAGAAGGGGAGGAAGGGGGACAGAGAACCTTTGTTACCCTCCCTGCCCTTAACGGAAGAAAGTCCTACTGAAATTTTTAATTCAAAATGTGGTATAATTAAGTTTTATTGAAATGTTCAGTTCTGTTGCTCAAGACAAAATAAAATTTCACACAATAAATCTTTTTAAAACAGAAGTCAACCTGAAACAATAATTCCCACTTTGAAGACATACCTTTTCTTTAGTAAAGAGTCACAGTATCGTGCCAGTAGCTCCGGGGATTTACTGGATGATTGAGCCATTTTTGTCACTGCATTATTATTTATAAATCGACCGCAAGCCTATAAATCACAAAAGACAGTGAAATTTTTAGGAGCCAAAACATTAAGGATGACTACATCATATGACTACACATATACCTACTTTGTCCAGTGCAGCCACAAAACCGGCATCATTGTTGAACGCAGACATGACTAAAGCATTATACTTCTTATGGACATCCAGCACTGTCTGTACATACATTTTTGGATCCTGTAAGAAAAAGAACTTGTTGCCTGTAATGAAACTCGTTGACTTTCTGCTGTTTCTTCCAAAACCCTGCCTTAAGCAAATTTTCATGGTGAAGATCTACAAAGCATTTAGAGGAATTTTAAATATAAGTTAGCGTGCAGACTTTTCTTTTTTTAAAGACAGAATTTTAATTCCAAGCAGTCCCAACAGAAATGGGCAATCTTTTTTTTTCTTTTTTTAAATTAGAAGAAACTCTCCAAATTCGTAAGTAACAGGTCTGTAAAAGGACATTGAAAAGGAGTGCCCCCTGCCCCACCCATAACATTCCTATCATATGAGCTCTGGATAAGGAGAATGGATAGAAAAATGCGGCTACACTTGTATTAGCGCTCTGAAAAGCTTCTCCTGCCACCAACAAGAGCAAATTTGCAGCTGTAGGGCCACTGCTCTAGCACATGCGCCAGATGTGCAAGACCCTCACATGAGAATTTCAAGAGCTCCCAGAGAACTCTCACAGAGGAATCTCCTGATTACAAAGACTCTAAAAAGACAACCAAACGTATTAAAGGTATCAATCTTCTGACTGACATTAGTTAACATAGTTAATGGAGTCTAGAACACAACTCATTCTACAGTAAAAGTCTAAAATAGTCAGCTGAGTCATTCTGACATCTCTCTCCACTAACTACCAAGTATGACCGACCAGTCACCTCTATCCCCTGAGAAGACGACTCAGGGGAGATGGGCAAAGGGTGAGGTGTCCCTGATGGGATACTTGCATTTAGAGCAGCTTCTCCACATTTCTCAATTGCAGCTAGACCCTGATTATGAATGTGGGTTTCCAAGAGTTTTTTCAGCTCTCCAAGGCCATCCTGGATTCGAGATACAAGGTTATACATGCGTCCTAAGTCTGAAAAAGAAGAAAAGAAAGTCAATGTCTCCCACTTGTATTAAGTATAACTCCAACTCCTCACGTACAAAGTGGAGAATAGAAATTGTCTAATTCAATAAACATTCAACATTACCAAAAACATACATGCGATTGCTGTTGTAAGAAGTCACGTAAGTTATACCAAAATATGAAGTGCTACAGTAAATCTTTGCAATAACCTGGAGAGTTATGATTAGTTAAAAAGGAAACAATTTGCATAAGTATCATGTTTTATCTTCACAACACCATGGAAGTTTCAGGAACTGAAACTAAATTACAGAGGTATACAGAGGTAAATTACAGAGGTATATTAACTACTGATTTTCAGTTTTTATAAACAATATCCCTCCCAACCCCCTTATTTCAAGTTTCTAAATTGATACATTCAACCAGGACTGTCACTAGTATTACTACTAGTTAAGAGTGCAGTGTTCTCTCTGAGCCTCCTGCTCATACAAAACAAGTTTTCAGAAATACAACAACACCGGCAGCCTTTTGCATATTCTGCTGGTGACAGCAACAGTAGCAAACAAAAACTATAAACCAACTTCCCTGCAATAAATGAAGTGCTGTCAGTAAAGCTACCTTTTAAAAGAACATTTAGATACCTGACATTTAGTAACAGAAAAAACTAATGAGAGAGAGAAAGCCATTGCCACAAAGCTCGAGATTAATAAAGGTGAAAAGAAACTGGACATAATTTCATGGAGGCTAAAACCTCATATTAAAATCTCACCAATATTTAGTCAAGACTTCCCAAAGCAAACAGTAATTTTTGGAAATATAATAATAAAGAGGGCTTTGCACTTATTCTTTTTAAACAGGGCAGAGTCTTGGTATTTTCTGAATGCAAGACTCAGAAATGCTTCAACATGGACATAAACCATAAAACTACTAGTTAGCTCTAGCAATCTTGGCCTTACTTAGTAGACACTCATGTGAAAAGGCAAAGCACCAAATTAGCTACTGGAGACTAATGAGAGTAGTTCACCTTAAGGTCTTCAACTATATGTAGCTCTTCCACAGCTCTCTGAAGAGCTTACATATAATTTATTACCTCTTGAGTATTATTAGACATTAAATAAGTTGGAGCAATAAAGTAGCTGTCCGGCTAACTACCTCTGAAATACAACACTCAAAACTCGATGCGTTTCTCATGAGGCTATGCCAGGTATGTTCAGGCCAATTGCTCTTTCCATTTAACACTTTCAGTTAAACAGCGGCAAATTTTCACCTTTTGGATTAAAAATATGTTGTTCTTTTAGCAATAGGATTTTATCAAGATGATAGGACAATAATGCCAAGCATGGGTGGGATGTTCTGCCACTAGTCCTGACCCCAAACAAATGGTTTGGTCATAGGTTGCTCTACCAGGTTGTCTCTAGTTAGCCAAGTATGAAGCTGACACCACAAAAGCTCAAGGAAGATTTGGATAAACTCTCCCCATTCCTCAAAGATAATTATTTCCCACAGTTATCATACTAATGTGCAAAGGTAACAAGCGGTCAATGTGCCCCAAAACCTTTGTTACTGGTTGCACAAGAAATTTAAAGTTACAGAACAGCAGCTGAGTTGCCTGCAATACAACACACCTAATGTACTTCATGCGAAGGACCTCAAAAATCAACTTACTTTCAAGAACAAGGCAATAAAGATGTTATATGAGGGTAGGATAATCTAAAATAGACTATGTAGTCTATTTAGAGTTACTGTAAATTTAAGACCAGTGCTTTGAGAGTGAAATGATCATAGATTTTGTGGCAATTCATGTGTTACTCATGATCAGAATCCATGTTTCTAACTAAGAATTTATGATACTTAGAAATGGCCAAGGAATAACTACCTTAATTTCTGCAAGTGAAATGCTGCAAGAGGAAGAGGAATATTTTGGAAAACATGACTTGTGAAAAAACACCAAATAATCTCAGAAACAGCTTCAACAAAGGTAAAATCAGACCTAAAAAACCAACCAATCAAAAACAAACACACACACACACACGCTTTATGGTTTTGGCTTTTTGTAGCTCAAAATGAGCTACAAAATGAAACAAAACGAGCAAACATACGAAGTTCTATCACTATGATAAGTGACTACATTAGGTGATCACAAAATCCACAGACTTATTGATAAAAAAAAAGAACATGGAAAGGCCTCCTGAGTCCAGAAACTTTTTCAGAATTGTGCTATTGCTATTTCTATTACTGAAGTCATTTTACTATTCAAGATCCACCTGTATTCGAACTTCTTCCAATTATGGAGAAAAAAAATGTTTTTTACAATTGTAAACAATAGCTGATCTTTTAGGGTTATAGGGCTAACAACATTCAATTTGCTTTTGAAATAGGTAACTTTTGATGCAACAAGCGTGCTTAAATGTTTATTTTCATTTTGAAGCAGCTCTTGGTAACAGAAAAACGATTACATTGATTGTTTACAGCTGGTTAAGGTTGATATACCAAGAGTTCACAAGTCATAACTGAACAATCATAACTTAACAGCTTTGCAAAAAGGCAAATGTCACGCTGGCCACTAATCCTCTATCTTGAGCCACTCAGAAACCTCAACACTAAGTGGTTTACAACTCTCAAACCAACATCATTGGCAACATCTCTTCAGCTCTGTCACTTCCTTAAAAGAAACATTTTAGTGTAAAGCCTTACTCTTATTTTCTAGATAGATTTAATCCCCATTGCGAAACACCATTCATTCTCCCCACCTGCATGATCTACAAGAAGTATGTTTTTGATAGTTTTGTTTTTGTTAGGCATTATCTCCTTCTGAATGCTTACAGCCCAAACCAGTTGTTAACTTCTTAACGATACCTCAGCTTTTGGCAACCAGGTCTCCAATAGTTCCTCTAAAATAAGTAAGCTTCTGTACTGTGTGCTATCTACGAAGGCATAAACTTACTACATTAGTGGCATTTCAGACTAATTTTCACAGCAAAAATTATATCATTAATTACTAATTTGCACCTTTTTGTGTTATCTGTCCTATGTGCATTTCTAATCAACGTCTCAGAGGCTCCCTATTTGTTTCTATTCTACCTTTAAATTTCCTTAAGCCTACTTCTAGAAAATTGGATTGCAAAATTCTCATTACTGACTCCAAAGAGGTCTTGGAAACAGATGGTGAGAACAGCGGTCTGTTTTCTGTCTCATGCCTCTCGTGCAAGCTTAGTTCCTGCTGGAAGAATCGCCCAAACGTTCTTGAAGCTGCTGCAGGCATATTTAGAGATACCAAAAATAGTACTGTTTTGCCTTAAAATTTGAGATTGGAATGGGCGGCCTGAGGTCAAATCCATTTAATCAACAATTGCTCACTGACTGGTTCAGCACCTATCTTTTCTCTCATTCTAATTACTGCATAAAACCATCACACTTAGCCATTATCAGAAGTTACATTACTTACAAATCACCAGAGAGGAAGAGTGGTAAAAAACTAAACCCAATATTTCAGTTGGCTTACCTTCATTTTTGTCAGCATCCAATAAATTCTGAAACTCTGTATGAAATATCTCCAAGTGTTTTTCAATAAGTACTTGCTCACACTTTCGTGCCAGTTCATCTTGCGTGCTCTCATGGAGATACACCTGAACTCTGCGCTGCTCCTCAAGAAGACGCGCTTCAGCCTACGGAACAACCAGGTCAACCTCCACGAAAAGCAGAGCAGAGCTCTAACAGCAAAAGTAGATGCCTGTTTAGTTAGTTCATTCAAGAAAACTAAAATAAACAAACCTTTCCATAATGCGGCATATCTGTTCCACCTATGTGAACAGTTGTTATGTTTCTGGGAATTGTAGTGTAACTCCTCCCCTACTGCATAAATACAGATTCAATGTCTATATTGATGAAAATCTTATACTGTTGAAGTAGGGGGAGAATCACAGCAATGTTACTTTCCCTCCTTTTTTTTTTTTTTTTTTTTTTTTTTTTTTTTTTTTAAAATGAAAATCTGCTAACAGAAGAAAGTGGCCAACAGGAGATGCTCGCACCTTCAGGATCTGCAAACTCTCCAGCCACAGAGGTAGTTTCCTTTAAAACAAACATGAACACATTTCATACCTGCACAAACACTAAAAGGCACACAATTACCATTTCATAATTTGCCCATCTCAAATTTATTTTTGTGTATTTAAATTCATTGAAAAGCACTACATTCTTGTAAATAAATGCTTCCCAATAACCTACCGTCATTTAAATTGTACTAGTGTTTAATTTGGCACATTAAATGCTACTTATGCATGTATTCCTGCTAAACCAAATTTCTAAGTGTCACTTGAGGAAGAATACTAAACTCAAAAACATAAACCTGAAGTTGTTTATATAACAATTACCTCTATTTCATTTGTGAGAAATGTTGCTTTAGAAGCCATCTGTGAGAGTGACACATTATCAGCAATAAGGCATATATGGCTTCTTATCAGTCCATATTATTTGAATTAATAAATGTAACTAAGAGAAGGAAATGAAATTAAAGCAGTTTCCTAAGACTTTAGGATACAAAGTGATCATGAAGGATCACATTAAGGACAACAAAAATCACAACTTAACTGAAAAAATATTGTATCACACACAGACAACTTTAATCTCCTAGATAATTGCTAACTTCACTCATTTTTGTAATAATTTTGCACTTAACTTTGGTCGCTTGACTCTGGGTTACTGTCTTTCACTGTTAAACCAGTACAGCTCAGAACACAGTAAATAAAAAGTTTGGAAAGGGAAATAAATTTGTGTTTCAGAACACACATCAGCACTAAGGACTAACTTCCTTAATGACAGCAAATAACAATTTTTTGCTGAATTTTCTACAGCAAACAACCAGAATCCTGTTAGATCAAGGTAATGCCCTGATATGATGCTAAAAGGTTGGCATGCACTAAGGTACCCAATACATTTCTTTATACAATAACTTTGCAAAGCCATTTAATCCAATCAGAACTCAATACACAGAGGAAGTGAGGCAAGGAAGTCAGCTGAAAGTACTAACAGTATATGATTTTTCCTATCTCCTAACAGGGACTTTCAAGACCCTCTTAGTGATAGTATGTTATGTGACTGCTGGACTACTTACAGATGTGCACAACAGTGTCATTAAAGGCTTTTCACTAATGTGGGGAGGGAGGGAGATAAATCACAAAGAAAATTCTATTCATATACAAATAAATGATTATAGAGAGCATTGCTCTGTTCCGGGCATTAAAGTAAGTTACACATGTGATCTCAGTCACTGAACAGAGCAGATAACTAGGAAATTGACCCTTGTGATGCTTAAGGCAAAAACATGTTAATAATTCCTTATGCATATTAAAGTTTTTAAAAAATCATATCTGAATTACAAATGAGCAGTTCATTCTGATAACTTGCATGATCTCTCTTAATCCCTCCTGCACAGCATACTGGTTCACAGAAATCAATCAGACTTCCCCCCGGCCCTGCCAGGCAATTCAATTCATGCATCTCTCCCCTTTCTCCGAGGTCACAGTCACAGTTCAGACCATTTTGCATATTTTGCATGCTCCTACTACCTTGACTTCGGGGTCCAATATGAAGCTTTTTAATTTGACTGTTTAAACGCAGCAAATGAGTAATGAAAACAAGAGTTTCCTGTCTGGTTGGATTTCTACATCAGCACATTCTTTGTGAGGACATGGCAATCCAGCCCAAAGGGCTTACTTGTCTCCAGTATCCGAATTTGATCAAAGACTACAATAAGGCTGCACTGCCTTCTTGAAGATTTTCTCTGCATTTGGACAGTTTTTTACATAAGCTTATCTTCAACATCATCAGCTTCAACCCACATGTGGAAATTGGAAGTCTTGATGATTGTCTGGGATACTATTAAGTCACTATTCACCACTAATCCCTAGTTCTTGAAACAGTTCCAGCGACTTTCAGCCAGCTTTTCAGTGTCCTGAACCAAAGATGCCTGGACAAGCCTGTCATTTCTGTTATGAGTGACTGAAATGTCCTTATTCTAGCTTTATATAAACATTTTGAAGGATGAAAGACAAGAAACGGAAAGGGAAGTAATTAAAATCATTACTTCAACAACAGCAGAGAAGCAAATACAGATGTCTGAAAACAACTGACTCTGGGCACCATCCCACTGATGTCCAGATGACTTTCACTGGGTTTTTCCTGAGCATATCTGTTTTTTAATTATTATTATATTTTTTTAATCACTCACTTCAAAACTAAGATTCAGAAAACCTTTGTGTGGTAAAAGGAGCACAGAGATATTGATGCAAGGGACACATTTTCTAGGTGCGTGAGCAGACTTTTTTTTGCATACTCAGAGCTCTGAATTAAATTGAAAGGGAGGAGAAAGAAGTAATTTAGAGAGCAAGGAAACATACTGAAGAAAGTGTGCATGTGTGTGTGTATATAAATAAGTATATATATATATATGTGTACACAACACACACAAGCGCGCACGTGTGTGTGCGCATATATAGAGCAACACCTGTTCAGAATGAACATGACCTATTTATTTTAAATTCAGTAAGACTGACCCAATAACCAGCCTGTAAATAGTCAATGTTTATCCAGCTTGTTCTTAATTACCCTGCCTAGATCCCAGAGGCCAGAGAAACTAAGAATTTAAACCAGGTCTCTGCTGATCAGAATTATGGTGTAGGGTTCACCAGACCAAAATATTCTGAAAGAGCCAAAGCTAATTAATGATCTACTTATTCTATGGAGGCCAGTTTGCTCAGGAAGAGATTTCAATAACATGCTACCAGTGCCTGGTATAGAAACAGTAAGCTTGCAGTTTCAAACCAGAAAGGACTATTTTGGAGGCAAATCTGAAATCCTACAAAATCCGTATTTATTTTACTGTCCTCTTCTGGCTTACCCATTAAGTTTCAAATTTTCATTGCACTTAAATGCAATCCACTAAAGAGATAAACTTCAGACAAGATAAAGCTACTAAACATAGGAACAAAAGACCTTAGCAAAAAAAAAAAAAAGCTAACCGATTTTCCTTCATTTTTTAGAAATTTTAAGAAATTGATAAAAAGGCAAGAGGTTACATTATTACTAATTCAAATAAACATCTCAACCCAGAAAATAATCAGAGTTATTCAATAACTTACCTTCTTCATGTACTCTGTGACTGGGTTCTGTTGCAAGAATTCAGTGCTTTCTCGTGTATAAAACCTCTCTGTGTCAGCAAGAAACTGAGATTCGAAGGATTCTTTATAGACAGTTAGTGTAGGCCCCTTTGCAAATGCATCGTCTTCATTCAGCCCCAGCTCCACTGCAAGAAAGCCAATCACGATAAAACTGTCTCTTACTAAACGATCTCTTGCACATAAACAGGTACTTAGCACTTTTAAAAGTATACATTTATTCTGCATTTAAAAATAAGTGGCAGAGATTATTCATGTAAATTGCACTTTTAAATAAATTAGTGAGTAAACTGGAGAATTCAGAAAACTTCCCTATCTTAAATGCTAGTTCAAATTCCATTTCCATTTTATCTCTGGAGTTCCAGATTATATCCACATGTCTATTTTTATTAACGATTGATTAATCATTAACCATCATGAGAAAATTCTGTTTCACACAAATGAGGGTGATGGGGAAAATAAAATTAAAAACAAACAAACAAAAAAACCCACACCACACACAACCTTGTAACTTCTTATGCTGCCCTTTTACCCCTCCCAATTCTAGTTCCGAAATACCTGATTCATAAGTCAAACTTGTTCATCACCGTAGGTTACACAGTTTATAGGCACTTCATTATCAACTGGAATTGTAAGCCATGTATCTCAGCAAACACAGTCATTCACAGTCTCAGCATAAGTTAAATTTTTTCATAAACAGGTTTAATTTATTGCAAAAATCCTTACTGGACATCCATGGAGGTGGGAGGCTATTTCTAGACTTTGATAGGGCATTTTTCCCCCCTGAGGAACGTAAGGAAGCCTTAAAGAAATCTCATTTACCGTAAGATTGTACAACTCCACTGATCAGCCTTGTATTGATAGTTTCACCATTTCTTTCCTTTTCAATCAGTTTCAATACAGCATTTGTTACCTTCGACAACAGGGAATAAAAGTGAGTCAAGCAGAGAGAAAAACAGGTGGTAGTCCAAGCACAGTACTTAACTGGGAGCATAATCCTATATTCAAGACAGTTTGAGCCCCTTAAGAAAAAAAATTAAAGAAACACGAACATGGAAATTTCCCTATCGCAGAGCAAGGTACAGCTGCAATTTCCACAATACAACCACAGCTGATTAGGAGAGAGCTATAAAAGAGTATGAAAGTGCTGGCTTGATTTACTGCTTTTTTTGTTGGTCTTGTTGCATTTCCCCTCTACGTTTTTTATTTTTCTAGAGGACCTTCTAAACCAAAGTACTGTCTATTTTATACTTGAAATACAGGAGAATCTTGTAATAACAGCTGAACTTGCCTTCTGTAACTTGTACAAAGAAAGGAATAGCTCATGCTCATGACTTGTAAACATGTTCCTTACAACTGAAATGTAACCAGTATTTTAAATGTAACTACTATTTTCAAAAATGAGTCTTTTCACTATGAAATACTGTTAAATAAGAGTGAAGTGTACTGTACATTTTGATGGAATGCCTTATTGTATATTCTGCTGACTCACCGATTCAAAACATTTAATTAACCTGACACAAATCTTCGAGGCATCAGGGTATATTTAAAGATTCATGGTAACATGAGAACAGACTGAAGTCCCAGTCCTGTCACTGTCCTCGGAGATTCTCAAATCTCAAACCTTAAGACATTAAGGTCAGTAAGTACTCATCTGGCTTCAGGTAACACCTTCCACTGATTCAATTTAACACAGTTAGCTTTTTAAAACTGTTAGTTTTCTTTAAACGCCTGGGGTCCTCTCATCAAAGAAATCACAACATTCTTGGTATCAAGGTTCCTCTTTTGAACATCACAAAAGGAAGAAAGAGGAAGCCTCTGCTGTAGGTTTTGATCTTTTAAAAGTTCTCTCTGGAACAATTACCAATTTAAATTTATCATTTAAAACTAACCCTATAAAATAGTATCACATTCATAAAATACACACATACCTGCTTATTTAATGGCCTGAATAAGCAGTCTCTCCAGGTCACCAAGGCAAGCTAGAATCGGGGATGAAAAATGAAAGAAAAAAAATATCTATAAATAAATACAAGCAAACACAGACACAATAATTCTTTACAGAAAGCTAACACTATGCTACATGATCAGAACTGATTTTTACCATGATGTTTTGGTGCACAAATCTCTCATCTAACAACATTTTTTTCAGAGTAAAATTATTGTTTCTTTTTTTGCCAATCCCATCTAAGGTGTCTCATTTGCTGGCAGACAGAAATCCATCAACAACTCTGAAAAACAACAGACCTTTCAAACTCCTTTGACAAGATAGTTCTTCCTGTTGGCATTTTTCAAGTTTATACAGTCCCTTAGCATTAGGCTGGTAAAAAGCAGAAGAGCTGAGAGGAAGGTAAGTACAGATAACCTAACCATTTGTTTTAATCTATGCAAAGTTATTCTAGCAATAAAACCTAAGTTTCCTAACACTCAGACTTTATAAAGAAATATTTTTAGTTATTGGCTCTACCTTGTTAATATTACTTTTCATCACAAAAACTAACAAACAAAAAAAACATAGTAATCACATATCATTCTGCAGTAACACAAATGTACCAAGGCAATCCCTGTTAAAAATCCAACGTTGACTGAATCTTATCAGGCCAGATGCCAAAAGAAACTGTAGTAATATAGTAATGTTAACAAAGAAATGCAGTTTGCTTTCCTTAATGTTGGGAACAACTGGTTCAGTTTTAAGTAGAATATCGAGGCTACAGTGATACACACAGAATCGTATCAGCATATATTCTTAAATACACAGCCCATGACATACAGTCAGTGTGTAAAAACATACAACGCAGACTCAATCTTACGGATTGGACCCATGGGCTTTTACAGATATACGTGCAGGAGCATGGGGAAATGCTGTGGGCATTTAAAAGGGGGAGAAAAGCAATTTTAATTATAAGCACACTTCAAAACACCTATGAACTTCACACAGTTTCCAGGAGCAAGTTGTAGGATCAGAATGCAAAGGATAGGTGAAAAGGATGACTCAGTCACTTCCAAAATGACTTACTGAGTAAATTTCATATATTCCTTTACGACCTTCATCGCACTCACGACGAACCCAATGTCTATTGAGGTAGGCACATATCCCATTCAACACTTTGCTTGAGAACCTATAATCTTCCCACTGTTGAGTGTAGAACTTCAGCACACTCTCATCCATCAAATCTTCACCATCCTGAAAAGGAGAAGGGTTATCAGTATTGCAGGGCAATTTCTGAAGTACACAGGGACATACAAAGGCACACAAATGCATGGTGTTAAGAAGTCCACATTGTACAAGGTATTTCTGCAGTATCTCAGGATGGCAGCGTCATAGGAAAAAGTGCTAAAATATTTTCTATTATAAACACAAAGCCACTATCAGATATATAAATTTTGAAAAATGGTGGAAAAATAAATAGCATAGATGGAGCTCCAGATGACACTTGCTCCTCTCTTTTGGAAGGGAGCAAAAAGCACCACATTAGAAATAGAGCTACGCTGATGAGTGTGCTAGGTAAAACTTGCCAGCGCAAAGAACAGCAATGCATCCAGTATGGCAACCTTAATAAAACTGCAACTTCCCTTGCTGCTGCTACTTGAGGAGCTGAAAGAAACGAGTGTGTACAAGGCCTTTTCTAGGAGTAGAGCATCAGGTAGCAAAGAGAACTCTATACCCTTGGATCTGCCTATGGCACTGTGTTTGTTCATGTTTTAGGAAAAAAAGGATGTGTGTGAGTTTAAGCATATTTCCCAATTAGACCAGTACATCTTGAATGGACAGGGGAAGAACAACAGGAGTTCATTCTGGATAAAACATTACATATATATCTATGCAGCTGCATCATCACCATTATCAAATTGCAAAATAAATTCACAGGGATTCCAGAAATTCTTCTATCACTGCTTAAATCTAAAATTTCAAAGATTAAAAGCGAGTGTGGTTCATTAACACTGATCCCCTTTCCAAAGGGCTGAGGAATTAGTCTCTCAAAAAGCAGCCCAACATAGAGTTGCATCAGTAACTTTCTTATTAATGACTGTCATCAGGCATTTTCAACATTATAAGCAACACTCCCATTTTTGCCAGCGCTATTTAATATGCTGGCTAATTGGTTATAAAGTCTGGCTGTACTTTTTACAAGCTACAGGAGAGCTTAAGACGACGATGCTTTTATCTAAGTGAATGTTTTCTCTACAAACACCACTTCAGTGCCAAGAAGGAAAGCTCATGGGTTTGCTCAATAACTGCTCTATATGCATGGCTAAACATATGATATTTTCTAACAGCTAATGGAATATTTAAGAAAAAATATACATTTTGAGCTCTCCTAATTTGTTTCCAACAGCTGCACTTAGCTCTAACTTTTGCGATGGAAGTTTTCCTCCAGCAGCTTGTAGTTCTACAATTCTGAACTGATCCATGGTCCCACCTTACCTTAAGAAGGTTTGTCAAGTAGTTCTTCAGAAACTCTTTTAGACGTTTGTACAGCTCCAAGCCAACGAACTGAGCCCCTCCAGGGGTCTGGCCTTTTTTCGACTTCGACGGGGGTACCCCAGCTCCCCGCGCTTGGTTAGACTGGTGTACGCTAGTACAGTAGTTATAAACGTGACTGGCAGGCAAGTTAAGGAGTACACACGCATGAGTAGAACATCAAAACGCAATAAAAAAACAGTACGTTCATTTTAATGAGCTCAGAATGACCATAAACAGTGACCTAACCTTAATGTGTTACAAGACACAGTAACCTACATAAAACTAAAAAACTAAAACAAAAACAAACAAACAAAAAAGTTAAAGCAGAATTGTCAGTAACAAGAACATTTCATACTGCAAAGAGACTACACTGCAAATCAAACTTACCTAACACTGTAATCAACAAGCCGAACAAACAAAAGTGGTGGAATTTACAGATAACCTTATTTTTAAGATGCAATTGGAATTTGATGTATTTGAGTGTCCTAAAAGAAACTCAATAAACCAGAAGTAGTCCTGAAAATAGGCTGGATCAGGACTTGGATGTGACAGCAAAGCTTACTCGAGTGACTCGCTCAGCAAATGAGCACTGCAGAAGAACAGAGCTACTGAGCGCACCCGTTTTTACCGACAGGTTGAGAGCTGCTCTAGCCTGAGCAACACTGTGTTAAGAAACCCAGAAGGTCTATTCTGATTTTAACTTGTAGTTAAAAGCTCTCAGACCTAGGCAGACTTCCTTCAATGAATGTATGCTACTAGGAATTAGTATTTTGTTGAGATTTGTTTTCCACTTTTTCTTCCAGAAAGGACAGCACAGTAAGCTAAAAATTAAAGCAAAATTAAACACCAGGGGAATTAGAAAACTAAAAATACACAATGTGTTAAGAGTTTTTTATAAACAGACTTATTTGTAGTCTTGGAACAATAATGCTTCAGCAAGGAAAAAAAATCTTAAAAAATATATCCAGTTAATTCCTTTTCATTTTCTTTTAAAATTACGCTGGTGGCTTCACAGACAAGTCAGATCCTTAAATTGGATTTTCAGATGAGCGTCTACTCCACACTACGCAGTGGGTCGCTCATGGTCTTTGGCATAATTGGAAAGGAAAGACCTTCCTTCTTTCCCTTCCCACCTACTTTATACGCTTGTTTCAGAAAGTCATCTCAACTCTGCACAACAGAATAACATTCTTAGCTTAACATTCACTCTTTTCAAAAAGTACACATTTAAGCCTTACCTGTTGCCTCTTCTAAGCGAGAAGTAATTTGTTTCCCCACACTATTAACCAATAATGTAAAAACCCATTTGTGGTAGGAAACCAAGGCTTTATTCTCTACCAGCCACTTATGTCCTGAGAATGTTCCTGGCTACTTGTTTGTTCGACTTTCCTAGCACTGTCCTTCCTTTTGCCATCGATGCTTCCATCCCAGAATTCCTCATTTCAGCCATGTTCTAGTGTATAACAACACAATACAAGAATGCTTTCTCCCATCTTGTTTACAACCGTGTCCCCACCTGCTAACGCAAACCACCAGCACAAGCGATTCAAGCAAAATCAGAATTGCGCAATTTACACCAAGGTGCATCACAGGCCGTGCAAGAACCATGAGGAAAATCCTTTTAAAACTTCTGGGTTGCAGAAAGCAAACTAATCTCAATTGCTGCCCGATCTGGAAGCCATACAATATCCCAGCAGCCATCAGCAAACATCTTTGGCAGCGTCTGCACAATTCTGCCTAGTAACTCATGCATTACTACAAGTGCCAATCAAGTTATAGACAAACCACTCTGTATTGCAGGGAAGCCGATTGCTTCTCCCAGCTTGGGACATGGTCCAGTAATCAGGCAAAGGACCTATTGGAAGAGTAGGTCAAGATCATTTTCTTTCAAAATTCTATACCGTTCCTATGACAAAAGATAAATTAAATTTTAATTTAAATGCATAAATGTAAGGTAGAAGACTACACTTCAACGTTGTGCAATTTCACAGGAAAAGAAAACTCTTCCAGAATTTAACTCCTTTTTTAAACTCTAAAAAGAGCACAAGAAGCACCCCATAAACTGCTCTAAAAATAATTTTACCATCTTAGTGTTCAGTACCCTAATCCATTTACAATGACTTTGAAAACCTTGACTCAGTTTCTAAAGTTGGGCAGTGCAAAAAAGACAACAAAATCCCCATGCAACCATTTCATAAGTAACCTAAGGCCTTGTAGGGGATCATTCCCAGTGAAGGGAATGATCCTGACACTCATCCCACCGGGAGGGCTTTTCCCCCAGCCCAGCCACCTGCTTTTCAAGTAGCACAAGCACTTGTGCAAACGGCAATTCCATCTGGGGAAGTGACTGAGGTTGCAAATAACCATTTTCCCTTTTCCCATATACTCTGCTGAGCAAACTTCTGTGTCAGCACAGAGGAAGTGGGAAACACTCCAGCAGCACCAGCGCAGAAGCTTCTTGCACAGATCAAAAGGCAAACCAGGAAGTACCAAGACCATCCTCAGTGTAACCACTCCACCCAAAGCATGCCAAAATTCACCACACAATAGACTGTACACCGATAGGTAAAATAATGCTTTCACATGACCTCTAAAAATTAGGGGCCTCCTTTTATAAGGGAATCTGCTCTTCTAGAGGTAATAATTGGTTGCCTTTTCATAAGGTCATATGACCTTTTTTTTCCCCTAATTTTACTAAAAAAAATGACAGCAGTGGAACAAGTCACTTGGAGGAGCAGACACGTAAAGCCAAAAGGGAAGCCCAAATAACAAAGCTCCAGCCAAGTCGAATTTCATCAGAACACAGAGCAAGACACCACGTCAAGCCAAATACTAACTAGGTATTTTTCCACCGATTACTTTGGGTGTTTTAAATTAGGTCACATTTAGGCATCACATTGCTATTTCACACATCCAGTGAAGTAATTAACTCTGTGCTCAGGTCCTAGCACCTGGAGAACCGGCTACCAGGAACGAGCTCAGATTAGTTGGGCTCACACGAAATGCGTTTTCCTAGACTGCACTCAGGCATGCACAAGCAGGGGGCAGGAGGAAGGCCGCAAACGCTGCCTTAGAGAAATTGCCTGGAGAAAAACACAGGAAATTGGTATAGCGTTGTAAAATGACCTCTAATATCAGCAGCTAGGCTCACTATATTCAGTGAGACTTGCATCTTTTCTTCATCAATTCAGATCATTCCCTGTAAAGCACACATGGTCACCCCGTGCCTAAATAAAGCTTCTAAGGGAAGTGGACACAGGTGCATTATTTTTCTAAGGTTTCATGATCCACAGACAATGGAATCTGGTGTAAATTTTGGAAATATTGGAATATTGGAATATTTTGCAAATTTTGGTGCAAATTTTGGAAATTTTCTTAAACTGTTGTTAAGCAATCACTGTTCTATGCATCCAAGCAGACCTAAACTCATGTTCACAGAGGTAAGTTAGAGACTCGAGAAACTGGGTGCAACAAAAACCATCTAAAGGCCTCTAGATAATTTCCTTTTGCCATTTCCATGGCATAAACTCAAAGGAAAAGCAGTGAAGCTTCGAGCTGCAGGAAAATACACATTTTTAAGCACACCATATATAAAGTGTACAGTCTTTATGCCAGAAAGCCTGAGTCACCATTAACATCTGTTGCTTTCAAGTTTAGTTTACATTATCAGAAATTGTTTTGCACAGAATATTCTTAGTAACTATAAACAGCAGGTAGAACAGCCAGTGATCAACATGGAGAAGAAAAAAAAATATATATCAAACATAGAACCAATAATCAAACAGAACCAATTGCACTACGTAAAAACATAGTTAGCAGATCTTTTGAACCAAGGCAGTAAGCTTTATAAATAGCAACAAAACCATGCCTACATTTCCAGGCACAAAAATGTAAAGTGCAAAGGCATGCTACTGTCAGCGGAGCACACTTTGAACACGTAAACACATACATTTATTTCTAATTTGACATTCCTTTAAAGCACTAACCGGCATGAAAGAGATGCTATGAAATACCACGCGGAACCTAAACAGGATTAATCCTAGAAGACAGGGGAGGCTGCTCTGATGTATCCAAAGTGACCTCAGACAATTTGATGCTAAAGTGAAAGGAAGTCTTAGAGAAAACCCATCTCTGAAAAAAGCGGAATAGTTTCCCACATTTAAAATCAGCACTATCTAAACTTCCCACCATCTTTTCCATGCAGGAAGAGCACAGTCTGCCCTGAAATTGCCTAGTACCAGCAAATCTCTGCAATGAGGAAGCAAGAATGATATTTGTATTTCTGCATTTCAGTTCACCAGGGCTTGGGCTATCCCAGGTCATCCATCTCTTCCCATCTGCAAGCACGTTACCCTTAGTCACATACTGCTTAACTCAACCTCTCCTTCTGCTCCTTGCTCATAGCTCTCTCAACAACCCACCAGCTCATAAAGCACAGGTTAAAATAACCTCCTGTGATTGCAGCACATATTTGCACCCAGTGAAAACAATCATTGGTAACTATCACTTTATCACAAAACTTGAACCAACCTAAACAAGTTTAGATACAGGCAAAAGATGATGCATAAAATGGGAATGAACATCCTGATGTTTACCACACTTTGCTTTATATGATACTTTTGAAAAGTATTTTAAAGTAATGTTTTGAGAAGCTACTGACAACTCTGTCAGTAATGAAACAAAAATAACCAGAGTCAGAGAATCCAACTTCGTGGTATGAGCGGAGAAAACTTTCTTATAATGTGTGTGACCGTTTTCCTTCAAAGCTTTATACAAAGTTTAATAACAAGTAAGCCAAACACCGCTACTTGAATGCGTTAAAGGAACCTCTAAAATTGACATTGAGACTTTTACGGAGAAAACAATAAAAGACTTTCAAAGTCAATCTAAACACTGCAGATTCATTTTTAGTAACAAAACCAATCCTTCTACAGTACTGTATACTTCTCAGCTCTTCCTCATCAGCATCCTCTCTCATCAAAAAACTAAATTTAAAGATAGCTTCCTGTTTCATGTAAATAGACGTCTTATTAATAACAAATACCACCTAAAATATTTTTTTTCAAATTAGGTTTTAACTATGAAAACTGAACAAAGAGACTGCTCTGCTCAGCATACAAACAAATTACACAGTCTAAAAAAATTCTTAAAAATAACATTTATCAGATTATGTTCTGCAAGCCAAGATAGTGAGGTGAAATCATGAATTTATGCCACAAAGATCACTTTGATATTTTAAATTGAAATTAAAATCAAAAGTTCCTGTGTGCTTAAAGTAAGAAGTTTCAAAAATTTACTCATATTTGTGTAAGGCACTGAAAAGTTGTGTAGTTTAATATCCTGCATGAAAGCTTTCTGATATTCTAAAAGCTGGTCTGAGCATCAGTTCAAGATACAAAAAAAGATTCCAAATCATTTCATTCTCTCCAATGCAGAATTACTCATCCTCTCAGGCATCCTCTGAGGAAAATGTTGCAAATTTACTGTATAATTAGTATGAAAAATTGTCAAAGAAAAAACAAAAACAAGGTGCACAAGGATTTTATCAGTATCAAACTGTTTAGTTTAAGGAGAGGTAGCCATAAAGCCATGCGACTTGCCAACATCCTGGTATTATACCAAGAATAATTCTGCCAAAGTAATATGTTTTCTGCCAATGGTCCATGACCGAAGCTCAGACCTTGCTGCACACTAGCACGGTGCTCTCTTCCACCTTCCCCTTCGCTTAAGGTACAAAAAATTACTTGACGCTAGAGTAGTTACTCTCAGCTGCAGTGTACCAAGACTTATGATTTCCCCCCCCCACCCTGAGAGCTCCAGAGACTTTTACAACTCAGACATTTGCTAACAACCTCCAATCTACTTTTTACTGAAGGAAAATCACTCCCTCATAACATTAATGATTTAGGTCTACCATCTACAGAAATCTAGTTCATTTCCTTGAATGTTTCTTTTTTCTCCACGATCTCAATGGTTGGTGTGTAATTCTATGCTAGCTAGCAATAAAGCCTGTCATAACACGTTATTATTGCAGGAGATACTGGACCCTTCAGTACCAGAAATAACTTCATTATCTGGGTGGGTAAGTGGCAGAAAAACACCAAGATAAAGGACTTCATGAGTATTTCACATGAGAAGGAAAAAAAAAAAAAAAAAAGCTCACTTATTCCACAGTAAGAACTGTTCTATCGGAATCCTGTTTCTATACATAAGTCTTAAATTCGCAGAAGGAAATGCATATGAAGAACATACCTCAGAAGATAATTTTAGTATACTGACCTTCATAATCTTGTAAGGAGTGGTAAGCAAAAAATATCACAACTTCTATAATGGTCTGCTCTTCTGGTTACACATTCTGGCATAGCCAACAGGGCATAAGAAAGCAAAAAAGTAAATGGAGTACTAGGAAACATTCAGGGATGCTCTCATCTCTCAGAAAACAAGCTCTTAAATCAAGAGGTACAAGTCAATTCAAAATGCAGCGAGAGAAGGGACGAGAATCCTTATGTTTAGAAGCATTTTTTGGTTTGTCCCTTCAGTTTTCTTGAATCTAGAAAGCCTCTGGAATAAAC